TTTGTTTCTCCTTTTTTTACAAGATTTTTTTCTAACCTAGTATGTGTCATGCTTTGCACTTAATGCTAGAGCTAAACTATCTGTTTTTCCACTCAAAGATCTCTCAGTGAAGAGGAAGGGGTAGGCATAAATACATCAAGGCCTAAGCCTTAAGAAGAAGGGAGATGCAAGTACTGGAATAGCAAGGGTAGCAATAATTAATGGCACCAGGAAGACCTCACATAGTGAGTGTCTTTTGAGCTGCGTTAGTAAGAGTGTGTTTGCTAAACAGAATAAAAATGGCCTAACTTGAATGAAACTATAAGGCAAATAAAGATAGTAGCTTACGATGCATATGACGGGTATGAGGATGAGTTTGCAGAAGTGTGATACAGCCAGAAAATTAGAAGATTTCATTGTAATTGAGGAGCTTTTTATTGTTAAAGTGGCTACAAGTCATGAAATGTTTTTAAGCAGTGTGGTGGCTTGATCATATTTGTGTTCGTAAATATATCTGGCAGAATTGGAAAGGGTGATTGAATTTGGGAGAAAGTAAAGCCAGGGAAACTAGTTGGATGACCATGTTGTAGCTTAGGTTATTGATAGATCTGAAGTGAGATAGGAAAGAGGAATTAATATGTGAAACATGTAGGAGATAGAATGAATAAACAACAGAGAAAAGGTGGTCATGAGTGATTTACTACTTCTAATGTGTCTGGTGGGATGCATGGTGTTTCATTAACAAGAAAAGAAAAGGCAGAAAGAAAGGCAGATTTTGGAAGAAATTCAAATTTCGTTTTGTATATTTAGAGGAGAAATGATTCATTAGCCAGTTGTAACCATAGGTCTGATAATTAAGAGAAAGATTAAGGATAGATATTTGATTTACAAGTCATTAATATTGACTTGGCATCAGTCAAGCAGAGAATTAAATCTGCACCTGACTGGTGTGTTGAAGAGAGATGATCATTAATGAGGCCCTTCCTGGGTCTTTGAGTAACTATCTGATCAAGGAGGAGTGGAAGAATATGAGGTAACTGGAAAATGGGGTGCTGGTGAAATAGACAGACGATCTAGAATACCAACTCTAACAGTTTGGTTTTAAACCTGCCTTATTTATTAAAAAGCATATCAGAAAAAAGTAATTAGAGGAAAATTAAGCTTTATACCATATACTGATTAGAATATTTTGATGTTTATGAAAGAGAAACCAACTTAAGCAAGCTTTGGTAAAAATAAGAGACATTCTTATGAGGATTCACTGGTTCTTCATGAAAATCACGGGTAAGAATGCCATTGTCATTGTAACCATAAGGTGTATGGTGTATGGTTACAATGGCCTGAATTCCAGGGCCCTTCTAAATACATATGCATAGAATTAATTGGATCAGAATAGAACTTCTCACTCATGCTGATACATTGTAACCAACTGTTAGAATTGGTATTCTAGATCGTCTGTCTACTTCACCAGCACCCCATTTTATGGTGCTCCCTCCTTCCCACCATTCTAAATCCCTAAGGAAGTTATCTGGACGTTATCTAGGTGTATAGTTACAATGGCCTGAATTCTAGGGCCCCTCTAAATACACATACATAGAATTAATTAGATCAGAATAGAGCTTCTCACTCATGGTTACATTGTAACCAACTGTTAGAGTTGGTATTCTAGATCATCTGTCTACTTCACCAGCACCCCATTTTCCAGTTACCTCATATTCTTCCACTCCTCCTTGATCAGATAGTTACTCAAAGACCCAGGAAGGGCCTCATTAATGATCATCTCTCTTCAACACACCAGTCAGGTGCAGATTTAATTCTCTGCTTGACTGATGCCAAGTCAATATTAATGACTTGTAAATGATCCACAATCAATGAGGATCCAGCCTCAACTCCACTCTGTCTACTTCTGTTTTCTTTCTGTCTCTCCCCTCTCTTTCATCCCCTCAACAGCATTTGTTTCTGGGAATCTCCTTATGCTATAGTGCCTAAATTGATGTTATAGCTTCAGATATCTAGTGTTATCCACCTGCTCCCTCCTTCCCACCATTCTAAATCCCTAAGGAAGTTATCTGGCCCAGCATGAGTGAGAAGCTCTATTCTGATCCAATTAATTCTATGTATGTGTATTTAGAGGGGCCCAGGTCAATGAAATAACATCTAGAGGTAAGTTCCAGAAATCAGTATTTTTTTAACATGTTTGAGAACCAATTGGATTCTGTTACTTTTATGACAATAAAAATGGTGGTAGGAACATTAATGGCCCTTCAAAGCTATGTGCTAATTACCTAGAACCTGTAAAAATGTGTTACATGTCAAGGGGAAATTAAAAGTACAGATATAATTAATGTTTCTAATCAGCTTACCTTCCGAAAGGGAGATTATTTTTGGATTATCTGTATGGGCTCAATACAATCGCAAGGGTTCTTACATGTGGAAGAGGCAGGCAGATGTGGTAGTGTGTCAAAGTAATATCATTTCTTGTTTTGAAGATGGAAGTGGGCCATGAACCAGAGAGTGTGGGCAGTCTCTAGAATGTGGAAAAGGCAAGAAAAAATTCTCCCAAAGAGTTACCAGAAGGGAACTCATCTCTGCTGACACCTTGATTTTAGCCCAGTGTGATCTTGTCAGACTTCCAACTTCCAGAATTGTAAGATAATAGATTTATGTTGTTTTAAGAAATCAAATTTGTTTTTTTTTAGAAATAGCCGCCACAGAAAACTAATACAGAGACAATTTTAAGAAGCTTTGCAAATACTTGAACTTTTAAGAGCAAGAGACAGACAGAGAGAGAGAGAGAGAGAGAGAGAGAGAGAGAGAGGTGTGAAAGGTAATTCCAAGGCTATATTTTTTAGATACAGATGTCCCATGATGGATATTTTTTGTTTGTCCAGTACCTATCTCTTTTGAAGATATAATCTCCCCCTAGCCTTTGTTTTTATTTACAAATTTTTCTCTTTATTTTTTTCTCTTACCATATGGTTCTCCTGAGGGTCCCATTCTTATATCACGTATGGATTTTCTCTCCAGGAGTGCTCATGGTACTCAATCCCACCCAATCATACTCTTAATCTGATGTTTCAAAAGAGGGAGAAGAGGGACATCTTCTGTCTGATAGTACCTTAGTAAGTATGAGCCAACAATTTATCAGAGGCGATGGTTTCAAACCAGTAGAATATGACTTTGGGAAGTTCTAAAAGAATGACCCTGTCAGAATCAGGAGCCTGAGCTGGAATTTGAAGCATTCTAGTTGATGGTTCCATTTATTTTCAAGGCCAATCTTAGACCTACCCTGTCACAACTTGGGTTACACAATAACTTTCTCTTTTTGCCTAAGCTACTCCAATTTAGTCTTTGTCATTCCAACCAAAGTATCCTTAATAATTTAGGCAGAAAAGAAGAAAAGTAACTCAATAATTGAGTGAAAAGTTTAGAAAAACACAAATATATATCTATTAAGAATGCAAAAATTATCTCTATTAACCCCGTGTGTTTTTCTAAGCATCTTTTGTATGTATAACATTTTACTAGTGAAATGAGTAGAACAAATCTGGCTTCCAGGCACTTACAAATTTCTTCATTCTACAAAATCTGTGCCTATATTACCAATATACCTTTCAGCAATAAGTCCTCCCTACGATCTCCATATGCTTATTTGACAAATGCAAAATGGAAATAAGTTCAAGAAAGTCTGGTTCATAAAATACATGAATGGAAGAACCACAAAGGTTAATTGGAAACATTTCAGGATATTCAGATCTCTAGGGGCAATTAACAGGCTCTCCCATAAACTGCTCTCATCACAGTTAAAATACTTGCTGGAAAAGCCTATTGGTGTGACCCCATGGCAATTCTTTTATTCTTAATAAGCTGATGTTTCTTTTAATTCCATCATAACTAAAGCAAAAAGAAAAAGAAGAGAAAGTTAGTTTGGAATAAACTTCAGGCCCACGGCCCAATTCATTTTGGATTCACTCAGGTGTGTGTTTATTTTAATAGCTGATCTGAAAGCATGTGAGATGCCACAGCTGACCAGATTCTAAACAGAAAAGCATGAAACTTAAAACTAAGCACGCAAGCTGCATGGAATAATAATCAAGTTAGGCTCCTTAAAATGCTAAATGCCAGAAAACCTCCAGCCATTAGGCCAAAGTTTACACAACAGCAAAGGCCTTATATTCTGTTTCTAAGAGAAACTTCTGATTCTAAGGTTCAAATTCTAAGATAGCTCTTCCTAAAAGTAGTTGAAAGATGGGTCTTTTGACAATTTGTGTTCTTCCCAAGATATTTCAGTGTTTGTTCAAGACTCCTTTTAAGAAAAAGCAGATTGTTGTCACTAAAAGTTGTCCAGAAACAGCAGTAAGAGAGTCTTTCCTAAACAAAATTTTACAAAATTAAAAAGGCAATTCCCTGTGCTGTAAGGGAGGACAATGTCTGGATAGTCACCGACTACGACCTGGTCTTCCACAGAGCAGAGTTATATTCACTGAATGGTCTGCACAGGTGGTCTGTGGATGGGAAATCCCCATGCCCCTCATATCACAAGAGCTGAGAACTGCGCGATTAGGAGAAATGACGAGGAAAAGTGTGGTGAGATAGGTATGCCAAAGAGAAAAAGGCTGGCAAGGTTTGAGGTGGCTCGAGAGAAAGACTTGGCAGCTCGAGGACTGGCTGCTTGGGCCCGCGCAAACCCGGACTTTCTCCAGGGTGAGTGTGAAGGGTGAGTGTGGGACTGGTGTCGACGGCTTTCCTATCAGTGTTCAAACCACACCTCAGGAGTAGAGAGTTACAGCCTGAAGCCCTGAGCAAATTGGTCTTCTCGGCGGGGCGGCGGAGGCTCCGCCCCTC